AAAGCAAGTTGCTGATGGATAATCTTGGCTACTTGATTATGCCTATGCAAATATTCACTGTTAGCCAAACGACCACAACCAGAAATAATATGTCTAATGGATTCACCAGGACTATGACATGCCCGACATATGTCAACCGTCCCATCCTTAATTATATATTTCCGGTAGTTATTCGTAAGGATAACTTCGTCCATAATTGCACAGACAAATCCTTCAGTTTCTCCAAAGAGATTACTGAATCGTAGCCAAGACACGGACGCTAGAAAATCTACACTGGGCCCATGAAGGGCCCGGAAGAAGCGTCCGTGGAGCTCCTTGCTATGCCATATCTCCTTGCGATCATTGACGCTCAGTACCACAGGTTTGCGCCAGTTCTCTTTTGCCAAGGATAGCGGAGTGAATCCATTGTCCACCGCTGCTACTTCTCGATGCATACCCTCGTTGACTTTCAGGAAATATTCCCTGAGGCTGCACACCTCACGGTTGTGAAGGGTCTTAGCATTTAATAAGCCTCGACCACCACACTTCCGCGGGATGTACAACCTCATGACCGACGAACGAGGGTGATGCATGCGATTTGCAGTCAGCAGGGTCCGGACTCGTCGGAATATTATTATTATTATTATAAGCTGGACCAACCAATACACTAATAAGCTCATTGTACCCCGTGTGAATATTAAATTCGATAAAATAAAAACACTAATGGCGCCGTGTTTTTACTCCCAAATGTATATTGCAGTTGGAAATGGGTCATATATTGGTTTCGGGGGAGTAGCAATCATCATTGATATATTTATTTGGCCTAGAACAACATGAGGTCAGGAATTAGAGCGAGCACATTTTGAGTGAGGGGGAGCTGATGGAATATATCAGTAATTATTCTGCTTTCCAAATATAAATCATGCGTGACTGAGTCGATGTTTGTACCTTTTTCCTTGACGACAGAAATACCTACCATACATAAATTATATTGGACCTTCTTTACCACAAACTATGTGTGTAAATGATGTCAAACCATTTTATTACATTAATGCTAGCTTTTATATATCTTCACCTTTTTATATTTGCATGTCTGTAATAAAAAATAAACGGTAAACGAGCAGACGGATCACCTGATGGTAAGCAATAGGCGTCGCCCATGGATATTTGAAACACTAGAGGCGTTACAAGTGCGTCACCGGCCTTTTGGGATTAGGAATTCAAGGATTGTTGGGGATTCAGTTCTAGTTTTCATATTCAATTTATTATATTATGCTTTATAACAGTACTCAGTGTTCATCGATTGGCTTACAAACTTGTTTTATAATAACCTTCGTGAGACATACTAAATTAACTAAAATCGCGAGTTACTCACGTCAATATACTGAGAAAAGCTTTACTAGTTTCGAACTACAGTTTCAGTAGACTGCGCGACATCGCTGTGACTGCGCACGCTGCTCATGAGGAAGAACCCCTCTGTGGTTCGAAACTAGTAGAGCTTTTCTCAGTATATTCACGTGAGTAACCCGCGATTTTTAGTTAATACAAACTTCTGTTATATGTAGGGATTCTTATTTTAAATATACACATATATTCGTTAATATTAATTGTGCTAATAAACAAAAAACAACAAACAATCATTTGTTATCTATTTCTAAATGTGTCAAGGTTGAGGGTGGTTTCCAAACAGATGTTAACGAAACTTACCAATTCGTCAATAAGTGTATTTCCATCTGGTAGATACCACCCATTTATGGGTCTGGGTCTTACAAATATCAATATGTTTGATCAACTATGCAACAACTATAAATAATTTTGGAGGAAAATTGCTAATAGACTTTGACCTAGTTTAACTCGTCGAGTACCGGTTTTGTAGACACAATTATAGAACAATAGGTTGCGGTCACCGGTGACCGCTTGGTGTTTGACAGTTTAAAATACATATTTCATATTTGTTATCCAGAATAATACGAGTGGGAGTTTTCTTTTAGTTTTATGATTACTTCTTCTTGTTGTCAGGTATTGCAAAACTAAGTTCTAAGTCTATTGACATAGGGATTTCGACGTATGTATTTATTTTTGTATATCTCTAAAATTAGAATACACGTTTTTTGAACTGTAGCTTCGAAACCTAAAAATAAATATCGTAAAACAAAAATATATCTCAGTCAATTTGTTAAGGAAGTTGAAAGTGGAGCTATAAAAAGCGTTTCTAAAGAACATTATGATTTCTTTAAAATGAGTATATCTATCATATACAATACTAGGAAGATCGGAAATATATTAGTGTAGGTCAATGGCGTCAGTTCTATAACAAACAACAGGAAAATATAGGTACAATGAACTACTAATGTATTAAAATATTTTGTCTATTGTTATACATCTCATTCTAACATCCTTCACACAAACAAAATTAGGCCCAACGATAATAACCTTAGAGCTCTAATTGAGAGAAAGACACATTTTAAAATCCAGATAGACATATCCACTTGGACACATGCCATAAATACCCGAATAGTAACAAGTAAATATAATTTTAAATACTAGAGACGTTCCCAGAAATATTATTAACATAAGCAAGATAAACAGGACAAAATTAAAGTAATGTAAGCGTAAAGTGAATAGTGTCATGAATCATGCCGTCATACGAGACTCAGCGGAGCAAGCGATGTAAGCGATATTAACATTAATTAAGGTTATGATATAAACGAAACGAATGCCAACAGAAAGCTCTATGCGTACAGTTTATTTTTTCATTCATATAAATGACAAATACTCTCGTCCGACTCACTAACACAGATAAGAAGACAATACACAATCGACATTATACTTACTACACCAGAAAATAGAGTCGAAAACCCCTTGCAAGCTTTCGATAATCTTGTGCATGGGGTTATAGTAAACATCGACGCCGGCGCAGCTATAGTCAGTCAGTCGTTGATCACTGTTGAGAGCGGGCAGTTATTGAAAGTCACGCGCGTGTCGACTCGCGCGCACATTGCGAACGAAATACGATTTACGAATTATTAACTTGTGGTGTCCCACTGGGGAATATTTTAGGTCCAGTGTTTTTGATAAATTGTCGAACATTGTTCTGATTAATTTGTGTGTTTATGTGCAAGTGTTACGTGGTCCATTGAATTGATGCTGACATGCATGGTGAGTACATTTTGAAATTCTTACACACGATGCGTTTCAATGAGTCCCATTGTTTAGGCACGGTCTTTTTTATTCTCGTTTGTTTGTATCAACACTTTCATCTGTATTGTTTATTTTCTAGTTTATCAGTTCTCTAATTAAAGTGCGGTGAATAATAAAACGGTTGCTGTGAGTTGTTTTATGTTTTATTGTGGAATGTGATTTTTATAGCCGAGTGCATTAGTCGAGATTTGAACTAGGCTTATACAGTAGTAATCCTTGTTGTACAAAAACGTTTAATTGTTTGTGTTTATAGCTGACTCATGCAACTGTATGTTTCCATAGGAAGTTGAAGTTACGTTCGATTGGATCATTTGTTATGAAATTTACATTTCTGGTTGATTTATGCTGTTTCACTTGAAATCAATCGCTGGTATCTGCGATGGTATCTTTCAGATTGTTTGTATAATTCGTATTAGTGTCAAGTGGATGATAAATGTTGTATACACGGTAACACTCAAGAGTTAATATTAGCCGTACTTGTAACCGATGATAATCAGAAAACATGTTCTGGTTCCTCCTAATTTTTAAAATCTCTGTGTTCCTTTGTTAATTTCAACAATAGAATTTGTTTCTTTTGACGTCACAGAGGCTTTATTTGTTATCCTATTATTAGTATTGGTTAGTCTATTATTTGAACCATATTATGGCGTCTAAAGATAATAGTTGCCTAACCTTTTGAAATTGATAAAATTAGTCATAGTTTTTTTTTTCGCTATTACTTCCATAGCTTTAAATCTAGATATTGGATAGAATCTAACATAGGTAGCTATCCCACCCAATTGAAGTGGTTCTTAATGCCCGGTAGTATTTTTAAATACATTGACAATCGATATTAACTACGTAGATAATCTGTCTACCTATCTATCTACCAGCACTTTCCTCAACAAAATTAAAACCTTTTCTATCTATCGCTTCATTGCTAATCTGACCGATTTCACTTCCTTGCGCCGACCCTATGTCTATGTAGGACACCGTGATTATAAATTATCAATAATCATCATCAAAGTGGCTTGTGCACAATTTCTAGTCCTTAACCAGCTCGTAAAAATATCTTCAATTTTATGTACATTCTTTAGAATTTGTTTTACATATCATTAGAACTGTTTTCTGATTGATTAAAGTTATATAGAGCTGGGTTTCTGGGGTATTGGTCGCGAACCATTGGTAGGTCGCAAGCGAACTTTTAGTGGGTTTTATCTGCAGAATGACATATTAACCAACCGTCCCGTACTTTACTTTTATATTGGTAACGGCTTAATTTCTTAATAGTGCGTCCTGAGTTTGGTACCCTAATTTAGATAGGTCGTAGACCAGATAACTTGCCGCGGAGAACCTAACGGGTTACCGGGGCTCTGGCTCGAAGCGCAGGAGAAGGAATGGGGTGGTTTTTAGTCAGTAAGAGTCTGACACTCCCTCCCGCCTCACCCAGGCGGGAGTAGTCATTCGAAGATTATCCCCCATTAAAAACAAAGTCCAGATAACTTAACAACGACTGGGAGTATTTTCTAACTTTGTAATATTTTTTGGAAAGTCAAAGAATGCCTTAAATTTTAGAAATATCCAGTTCTTTATTTAAGTAGCAAATGTTATTAACATTTTTATTTTTATCTAGTCTTATCCACTGTAACTTTTTTGTTAGTTGCCCAAATGCTTCTTTGGAACGATAGAGGACCTTTTATAAAACAAAATATTCCTTACCGATAATACAATATATTGCAGTATTCACCTCATCAGGACCAGACGCATCGTTATCATGCTGTCCATAATCAGGATCGTAAATGCCAGTGACGTTTTCATTTTGATTTACTGTCGAGTGATATGCTTGGACAATTTGCTCCTTGATATCTAGGTCGGTTATTTATTCAACTCTAATTGTTCTCAGTTCACACACTGATATTGTATCATTGTATTTCTTGTTACATCATGTCTATGCATTTGTTTTTTGGTCTCTCTCTTTTGTTTTTGTGTCTTTATGCTTGTTTGTGTCATCTTTTGATATTTGGACTTTAATATTTTTCTATTCTTTGGTGAAATTATTGTCTTCAAACTTTTGTCAGTTATTAAGTGATGTGTAGTAATCTTTAAATATTTTATTGACCTATCTGTTATCCGTAAAGTACTTGCTATGTAGATGTTTTTTTTATTCAGGTACTATTTTGGCTTACAACGATAATGATGGCCGATTTGTTTTAAAAGCTAAGAACTGTTTTAGTTCCAAATCTTATGGTTCTTTAATATTCTTTATATTAAATACTTTTTCCTTGTCAAAATTCCCAGTATTAAGGTTAAGATCGTTCCCGCAGGCAATATTCTCTCCGCCTATTATTTAAAATTTTAGAATTAGAGTAGAGAGAGGTGGACCGGAGGTTAAGACGCCGGATTCCCATGCATAAGGGGGCGGGTTCCAAGCCTACCGATGGCAAGTACCGATGTGACTTTTTCCGAGTTATATGTACTTTCTAAGATTATTTAGATACCACTGATAAACGATGAAGGAAAACATCGTGAGGAAACCTGGGCTTTTTCTAATTATAAGTTCGAAATCGGCAACCCGCAATGAGCACGCGTGGTGATTAATGCTCAAACCTTCTCCGTGTGAGAAGAGGCTTTGCTCAGAAGTGAGCACATATAGGCTGTTGATGATGATGATTATTTAGAATTTATAACATGACAAGCGAAACGTAGATAGCAGTGTTCTCATATTAACTCGTCGAGTACCGTCATTATAGACACAATTATAGAACAATAGGTTGCGGTCACCGGTGACCGCTTGGTGTTTGACAGTTTAAACGCTATTTTGATTATAGTATTGAGGAAAATAGGTGTTCTATATTGAAGGTCTAGGTAAATTACATACTCTGTACTAATATAGTAATTATAATTGCATAATTTCTATTAACATGTTTCCCTATTATTTCGTTCAATTTACATTTTAATATGATTAATTTTCCTTTAATTCCTATTGTCGAACAAAACATTGATAGGTATTTTCGGAAGTGAACTAAGTTTTAGGCATTTGATGTTGTTTACAATGATACCTATTGTGCCGTAATTTGAAAGAGAGATGTTATTATAGGTTGTTAGTTAATCTGCTCTAATTGGGTAGGATTTAATAAATGTCATTCATCCACAGACTATAACAGTCTACTGCTTAACTATGGGTCCTTTTAGATAAAAAGAGGTTTTACATAACCTCTAAGCTTGGTCATCGGATTGGAGATTGTGCGAAAACGCGAAGTGACGTCGCATCACAAAAATGTGCGAGCTCCCTCTACGCATCAAGAACTTGCGAATAGATTTGCATCGCGCATCAATATCTTATCTTCCCAAAATGTTCTCTATCTCTTTTCCTGTATCTATAAGCAATAACAGAAGTGCAGACTTCTTTTTACGATCCATGTCACGACGGTAGCAGGTACGATTTTTTTTTTAAGGGGGGAATATCATCGAATGACTGCTCCCGCCTGGGTGAGGCGGGAGGGAGTGTCAGACTCTTACTGACTAAAAACCACCCCGTTCCTTCTCCTGCACATCGAGCCGGAGCCCCAGTTACCCGTTAGGTTCTCCGCGACTAGCAGGTACGATAGCTTTGCAAAAATTAGGGGAAAATATAAATGAAATTCCTCCTCTTGCTATGCGGTCAAATTATCCACAGTTATTTTGATCTGCTGTCGATTTTGTTAATATCTATCCCTGAATAGACATTTGCGTCATAATTTTTAGCCTAAACATTATTATTTTACACCATAACGCAAACTATATTTATAGACAAATTGTTACCATAGAGTATTAAATTATATTTTATCTGTGACTGTGACACACTTATTTATAGGGCCTACTATAACTGTTTTTTGCTTCATCACGCAAATTATGACATTATTCCTATAACAATAGAATTGACTATTGTTTGAAAGAAGATTAGCGAAGATTATAGATTCGTCGAATGGAAACGGGTTGGCCATGTTTGTGAATTTATAGATTTTAGAATTTTCAACTTTATGGCTTTTTGTAATAAAGATGAAATTCTATTTGGATGTTTTAGTTTATATTGATGTGCGGTTGTCTGTAATCATTTTGATTTACTTACCGCTAATATGATTGGTCGAATCAGTATGTACTAGTTCGTGTAATTGGTTAAATCAGTTCATACATGTGTTATGTCCGTTTCTGATAAAATAATGTCAAATGGTAAATTGATAGTGGCTGTAGTTTGACACGATTAGGGCATAACATAGAGATGTAATTCCTGTTTATTAATGTAGAAATGTTTAGGAAGATAGCAAGTCTTGTTTTCGATTCCTAAGTACTTTAGAAAGTATGTTTTTCAACAGCTATGTTGTATTGTAGTGAAATGGTCTCCACAAATAGGTCCATTCTCATCCCATAATTTTATTAAATAGAATTTTTAAAATAACGGGCAAAAAGTAATATACGCCGATTATTCTACCAATAACAATAAGACTGCCTCGTTGGCCGAGTGGTCGCGGCCAAGGGTCTCGGGTTCGATCTCCGGGTCGGGCAAAGTGTTACTTTGTTTTTAAAAATCTCAGTAGTAGCACGGAGTCTGGAAATGTGCCCGGTATATGGCAATGGGATCACTCCCTATTACATGGGACTCATAACATAAATAGTGAAAAGTGGGTGTTACATTGTACAGTGGCATAATGTGCACCTCTTCTTCTTCGGGGATAAAAGGCGTGATGTTATGTTATGTTATGATCTGTCCATTATCATTCATTATCTGTATATTTAAGTGTGGGAGAGCCATGCTTCGGCACGAATGGGCCAGCTCGACCGGAGGATACCACGGCTGAGCAGAAAACCGACGTGAAGCAACGCTTGCGTTGTGTTTCGTCGTGTGAGTGAGGTTACCGGAGGCCCAATTCTCCCCTTTCCCAATATCCCCAATTCCTGAATCTCCAAAAGGCCGGTAACGCACATGTAACGCCTCTGGTGTT